TTAATAACCCTCAAGCATATGGATACTAGCAACCTTTTGACTCATGTTCAGGGGGTCTGTGATTTTGTTGTTGTTGTTGTTTTCTTTTGTTTTTTCTTACAGTGCTGGTAATCACAACCCATTATTATCAAAGTTATTATATTTATTATTGAACTTTTGTTCTATCGCAGGAAATTTCAGCAAGAAAAAGTTTTATGGCTGGAATAAATACCTAAAATACTACTTTATACATTTAAAAAATGAGCCTAATATTTGAATAGTTTGATTATCTTGGAAGCTGGTCAATGAAATTTATTTTACAGTTAAAAGGGCTGCAAAACGTTTGAGAACTCCTCCCTTAAGAGATCATAATAAATGACAATCGCAATAAACTATGCAATTATATATCATCAATAATGGCTGTTTGTGATATGAAATGGGAGGCTAAGATCTAATATCTATCAGTGGCTCGACAGTGAATCTATTAGGGTTGAACAATGCATTATATCTCAAGGTCCCATCAGTGGCATAATAAGAACGATGTAGGCCAAACTACAGGGTGTCCAAAAGTCTCCATACAGAGGGGAAATTAACACTTTTTAGCCAAACGTCTTCCAAAATCTTTCATACTTACTTTATATATATTTTTTCAGACAGTCTTTAAGAATGCTTTTGACAAAAGAAGAACGTACTGAAATCATTCTTATGGCTGGATCAGGAAGCTGTCGCAAGGTTGCGCTGGACTTTACCAGGAAACATGGCAACATACGTCTCACACAACACTGCTGCCAAACTTATTAACCAATTCAAAAGACTGGTAGTGTTGCGGACCAACAGAGAGGTGGACGTCCACGAACATCCACTGATGAAAGCACTACCGACACGGTGCTGGCACACGTAGTCCCCTGTGTACAGAGACTTTTGGGACACCGTGTATTTCACACACACACACACACACACACACACACAGAGAGAGAGAGAGAGAGAGAGATGTATTGGATGTCAGCTGTATTTGTGATTTCTTTCTTTTAAGTGTTTCAAGTGTATAATGGCCTACAGGCTCATACTAAAGAACAGAAAAAGAACAGAAAAGCTGTAAAAAATAAAATAAAATAAAAATAAATAAATAAATGCTACCTATGGTTCTGTTATTTGTCTTATTGTGTAATTTGTACTTTGGTCGGGCAATATTTAGTCTATTTACTTTTAGGTTCTCCTCCAAAGGTATTTTGGAGGAAAGGATGATAGAGCAAATAATCTGTTCATGTTGATTACACAACCTGGACTTTCAGGATCTCTTTAACTGCAACTGATAAAATAATAGCCTATCAAGTCAGGTGAAAAAAAAAATTCTTTTACACTGCCCACTCATGTGGTGCATCTATTTCTGTCTATTCTATTCACTTGTTTAGGAAATATAATGGGCAAATATCTGTACTGACCATAAGATTATTCTAAGCACCTACTGCCAACTGAGTTCAAATAGTTCTTTAGTCCAGTGAGATTTTCACACCGATGCAAAATATTGTGCTGACTTTCAGTAAAGCTGACATGCAGTAAGTAAAGCTTCTGCTGTGCATTCAATATTTCTGTTCATCATTTCTCTATATTACATCTGTCAAAAACACAAACGTTCACCACCACTGACAGGAAGAAAATGTAACTGCAGTGGAAAAATTGCACTTTATTATTCCATATTAACAGTGTAAAGAGTGGGGCAGTATAACACCATGTGATTGTGATTGTGTCCACAAATGACTAAGCAAACTAGCACTGTGTCAAATCGCATTCATGTGTACTACTCTAGACAGTTATTGAGTACAAACACAAACTGTTGTTCCTATTCTGGTTAGTGTTTAAATTTTAAATTGTAGCCTTCTTGAAGTTCTGTTCTGAGCACCAGTCATCAGGATTTTCCACATTAGTAAATACTTTTGAATGTAGGGTCAGGGACTTCAATCTGATGTGCCGCTCATGACAACAGTCACAATGACAGTGGGAAGTTTTAAAGAGAAACAGAGCTCATCAGTGTGTTTAATATCGCTCTGCATATTAGAAACCATATTGGAAACCAGATGGACAGGATGTTTTGGCTCTGACGTGCCATCTAGTGAATGTTGCGTTTAATCCTCCAGATGTACATAAAGTACGCAGACAAGTACGTGGACAACGCTGCTCGTGTTGCTGCTGCTTCGGCGCACGTGTACAAAGTCATTTGTCAAATATTAAGCAAACATTATTAACAAAAGAATTGCCATCGTGTAATTTCTCCATCCACATTCCGAAAAAATCTGCCTGTTTTGCCACGTTATTCCTTTTTCCTGTGCTAAGATTAATGTGATAAGGTTAATAGTTCTTGCATGCAAGCAGTTTGACAGTTGGGCAGTTGTGCTCAAGACCAATTGTTTCTGTTTACAATTTTAGTACATGATGGTTTCAGGTATATTGTCATAAATTTTGCTGCATTGATTATTTTGCACTGATTTTCACAAAACGTTTTACTGTTTGACATGCTCAATTAACATCTCCTCACAGATTTGATACTGTTTAAGCAACATAAATTTCTTTGATCAGCAGGCTGTGGCCTCTCAAATCACGACTTGACTAATCTTGTTTTTTATTGTTAGAAAGCATTGGTATTGGCATTGGCGCATATTGTTTGTTTGGTTTTTTTCAGAAAGTATTCAAGACCCCTTCAGTTTTTGTTAAAAAAAAAAAAAAGATTCAATTGAACTTTTTGCCCATTAATATATAAACAACAGCCCATAATGACAAAGTGGAAAATGGAAAATTCTCATTTAAATAAGTAATCAGACCTTTTATTCGTCATTTGTAGAAGCACTTTTGGCAGCAATTCCTGTTTTGAGTTGTCATGGGTAACAAGCTTTGCACAATTTTGTTTCAACTGTTCTTCCTGGAAGATCTTCTCAAGCACAGTCTGAGCTGAGGAATGTCTGTGAACTGTGAATCTGCAGGTCTCTCCTCGCATATTCTACAGGATTCAAGTCTGGGCTTTGGCTGGGCCACTCAAGGACATTCAGAGGCATGTCCCAAAGCAACTCCAGCATTGTATTGGCTGTATGATTCAGGTTGTTGTCATGCTGAAAGGTGAATAGCACTTTGTGTCCTCATTAAGACAACATATTTCATCTGGAGCTTCCAGAACCTGGGGGATGAATACTTATGCAAGCAGTATTTTTCTTTAAAATACTTCCTGACCAATAATTACGCTTTTGACTTCGAATGCTTACTGTAAGAGAACATGCGTTTGCAATAAAAAGTACTGACAGGAAAAATATGCGTATTTATCATTTTGTTATTCAGGCAAATCTAATAAATTCCAGGAGGGTTGGATACTTTTGTAAGTCAACATTTTACAGAAAAACCTCAGCAAATGCAAAGTCCCATGTCCTGAAGACTTTCCCATGGTGGAAAACGTAAAGTTACAACTTTACATATGACTGTTACAAAACGGTGACACTAGAGACTTCTTCCAAAAATGCTAAAAGTCTCAGCGTATAAAACATCCTTCTCTACGTCATCATCATTCACAAATTAACACTAGGCCTATCCCAGATTCTGAAGAAGTTGGTCACATATCAGTCAGAGGCTACTGAAATTTTGACTCAGATTGTATAGTATTGTATTGTAGTAGCAGATTCAGTGGTATTGTCAAATATTGAAATGTTGCCTTATGAATGAAATTTGTATCCTCTCATAACAGATTCAGTAGTACTGTCAAATATCAAATTATTGCCTTAAGAACTGAAATTGTATCATATTGTGTAGAAGCCTGGGATGTACACTCCTAGTAAATACCTAGTATTCCTTAGTAGTTAATGGTAACAACTTAAGCGCTAATGAGGAACTGTTCATCATTCCTGCTTAGCCCCTGTATAGTGAGTTATGGAACAGTATTTAAAAGTTATAGAACAGTATTATTTTTGCAGAAATTCCATATGATAAAAAAAGGAGCTCTGTAGTGAAAAATACAGTATTGCATCCATTATTTAGGCGCAGATCACATTTACCTGTAAACAAGGCTGAAAAGAAATAAGCAGCACTCTTACTTTTTTTCTCTCTCTCTCTCACACACACACACAAACACCCTGATCAGATCACAGCACAGAAGTATGAGATGAGTGCTGGAACCTGGGCATGAGGCAGTCTGCGTGCAGGTTTGTCATCATGGCCAGAAGCGCATCGTGGTGATTACAGCAATAAATAAAGACAATGCTGAGGGTATGACAGGCTGAGTGGCGGGGAGCTCTCCAGGCTCATTTGCATGACTTTGTGTGGCCATCATTTCCACACTAATGTAATGCCAAGCAAATGAGCCTGGCACAATATTGGCCAATTCATCGCCGCTCCACTGGCTCGACAACGCAGTCTATAAATCACAGAGGGAACACATGCTCTGTCTGACAGCTAAATCAACACGGAGTAATCACATCGCAGCAGCACCACATGCTCTGCACGGGGGATTAATAAACTCTGTGTGGATGCATGTTAGAGTGCATCCTGATTCTTTCAGACGTATATAAGATAACAGTGGCCATCAATTTTAGATATGACATGCTGTTTTGACATGTTGTGTGAATGGATAGGTTGAGTGTTAATATTAACATGTTAGAAGCTTCTTGTGGTTGGACAGGATGGCCTTCAAATCCATGCAATTCCTCTTCGAGCACACCAGGTGGAGCAGTTGACTGTGATATGATATATCACTGACTTGCATTGCATCAGGCAGAGCAGCTGGGCTTACAGTAGCAGCACCTTTTCAAAAAATACTAGTTTAGTTGCTTCATAACAAAATGCCCTGTGTATTTTCAAGAATACCAGAAGCACAAATGTGTGCCTAATGCAAACATTCATTTATTCATTTATACCTTCAGTAACATACATAAAGTATACCTTTATAAAGTATACATTTACAACTTCAGTAACCGCTTTATCCTGGTCAGGGTTGCAGTGGTCCGGAGCCAATCCTGGGAACACTAGGCAGAAGGGAAGGAGCAAGGGGCAGTGGTAGCTCAGTGGTTAAGACATCTGGACTCCTGATCAGAAAGTCATGAGTTCAAACCCTAGCACTGCCAAGCTACCACTGTTGGGCTTTTGAGAAAGAGCTGCTCAGATGTATAAATGAAATAAACCTAGGTTGCTCTGGATAAGGGCAAATGCCATACATATACATGTATACCCTGGATGGAATTCCAGTCATTAGCCCCTCACAGGCTATGCACACACACATTCATACACTCTATGTCAGACAGTAAGTCAAGCTAAGTATGGAACCAGTAATGTAAGAGCTGTGAGGCAACAATGCTGGATGTGTTTTGTTTTTTGAAAATATTAAGAACATCTAAGACACATAATCTTTGGTCACATATGACCTAGAGTCCTCACTCATTGTTTTTTGGGAAAAGTAAATCATGACTTGCACACAGTGGTTGCATCATGGCTTCAACAGTATTTCATGACATTACTAGTACGAACATTATAGTTATGTTAATAAGTATCACAATAAAACAAATATCATGGTAATATCATGGTCAGTAGTATATAATAACCACAGTTACCACTAAAAACTGTGCAATATCATCAGATCTGTGCTGTTTTTCTAATAACAGTAACAGGCTCTGACTTGTTTACTAACTTGTTTCATGGACGTTCCACAACACAATGGATAAAAATATCTCATTGCTCATTAATGAAATTAAAACTTATAGTGGTTGCCAAGTGGCTGTGGTATAAGAGGAATAAAACAGGGTTGTGCTGTTATAAAAAAAAAAAATATCAACTTCAGAGTGCATCCTAAGCATTAAATTACCTCATCATTGATTATTTTCCTATAACAGCACACCGGTTCATGTTTTATTCATTACTTAACATATTCCTCACTTAACATTACTAACCATAGTTATAATTTTAAAAACCCTAGTAGTACCATACAACAGTTATTGTACAGTGACATAAAACAATGATAATATGTCATGCTCTTTGTTGCTATAAAATATCATGGTGAAATTTCATAAGGGCCACGTCAGACGAAGGCTGAGACAGTAAGACGGTCACTTCAGCTCCTGTTTCAAAACAAGTATTGCTGTGTAGTCATGCTCCCTCTGTAGTGAGAAGACCAGGTATAATAAACTTTGCAGCAGATTTCATTACCTTCCTCAGACAGGCCTTATGAAAAATGCATGCATTAGTAGCTTGTGTTCTCACTTAGCACAGCCATACTGGCAAGAACAATGAGTAAATTCCAGAAGAGCTGAACTACTTAAGAGCCACTCAGTAGGTCAAAAGGGAGAGGAAAAAAAACGACACGCTCTTAGCAACGCCGTGGATGTGGATGACAATTTATAAACAAAACTTTCAAATTCTGGACATTTAGACCTCCACTTTCCTGTAAGACCTTCTCTTTTTTCTCTACAGATCTTGTGTTGTTGTCCAGACAGACATCTCAGACATCTCATGTCATACTGCATTGTGTGAAAGTCTGATCGAACAGACAGAAGTTACTCAATGGATTTTCCCTGGTGTCGCATGAATATAGCCAGCACTGCAGTAATCTGTTTTCTCTGTGATGCATTCTTGCTTTTATTTCAACAAAACAGACACACACTTGTGGCCAATACCGAGATGTGTGTTGTATTTCGCTAGGGACAATTGTGAAATTACACATTGCTTGACAGTGGAAAATGTGCTAGTGATTTTGTATGGTTTTGGTGTGTAAACAATTGTGAAAAACTGTTTAACTTAGCTGTCAGCATTTATAATGTAAAAGAATACATTACAAGACTACTTTTTATTCCTTCCAACAGTGTATATCATCACATATCCTCCTTTCAGTCTGCGGTCTTCCTCCTTATTTTTATCTGCACCTGCTTTTATCTTCCTCTCTCTCGAGTTC